AGCAGATAATAATATTCCAAACTTTTTGGTCAAAGGTCTATGTGAGCTACTCAACTCTTCAGCTGTAGCCTGAAACCAGCCAAAGAAAATACACAAAGGAATGGTTGTGTTCCAATAAAACTTTACTCTCAAAAATAGGAGGTGGTTTATAGTTTGCCAACCAACTCCTGAACTTGAGGGCGGTTTTCATAACCCTTTATTCTCAAATCCCAAATGGGAAATTCTGGTAAAATACAAATGATTGAATTTAGCTTGCTTAGCTCTCAGTATTACTGGGTGACCCCCACCCACTGTCAATCACAGTTACCCACTGAGAGTTCCAATCACAACAATAATAAAGGTGGCAAACAGAGCACGGAATAATATTAGGTACTTTATGCCGGGAATTTGTTCAATTTTCTAATTAAAGAATGCACACTCTGCCCTGACCGGCCTTGCTCAGTGGTTAGAAAGTGGGCCCCGGGCACTGAAGGGTCCCGGGTTCAATCCTCGGTCAGGGCACGTACCTAGGTTGCAGGTGGCTCTCTCACACTGATGTTTCTCTCTCTCCTTCCCTCTCTTCCACTCTTTCTACAAATAAATGGAAAAAATATCCTCAGATGAGGATTAACTAAACAAAGCAAAAAAAAAAAAAGCACATTCTGACCTGGCTGGGAGTTTCATGCCCTGGACCTGGGTTAACCTAGAAATGTGGTCCATTCTCCCTATAGTATCCTAGAACTGCCTACCATCACAGAAAGATGAACAACCTTGTTGTCAAAACAATGGAATCCTGCTCTTTGCAACCCCCAGCCTGAATTGCCTGTAACCTATAATCGTTATACCTATTCTTACTCCTTTTGCCTACTCCCCCACGCCTGTAATTCCTTTTGCCTACTTTCTCGTGTAATCTTTTCCTTCTATCTAATATATGCAGCTGGCTGGGGAGGGGGGGAGGGGGATAGTTAGAGCATATTTTTGCAGATGACCTGCAGCTCTCCCATGTTGCTGGCTATTTTGGAAAATAAAATGCTCATATAGGATTCACCCTGTATCTGCCTAATTGACTCAAGTAGTGACAGGCAGCCCGGAGCCGTTCATTATCCACTTTCACAACATCTGGTTTACTGTAGTTTCAAGGCCATGGTAGCTCAGTTGGTTAGAGTATTGTCCTGATACACCAAGGAGGCGGGTTCAATCTCCAGTCAGGGCACATACAGAAATCAACTAATGAATGCACTTTAAAAAATGGGACAAATCAATGTCTCTCTCTCTCAATCTCTCTCTCTCTCTCTCTCTCTCTCTCACTCTCTCTCTCTCTCTCTCTCATATCAAGAAGTATTTTTTAAAATTTTAATAAAATAAAGGCCTTGGTCTGATGTGCCAAAAATAATAGAGAGCAGCTCTTTCTCCTTCCTGCCCTTTCTTTGTCCATTTGCCATTTGCTAAGGAATGTCTTTGATGGACCCCAAGTCTTCTGGACATGCGAACCAATATCCCACCACTTTAGTGTGAGGGGAAGCAGAATTTGCTCCCCCAAAACATGTCTTTGGGGGTGTTGATTATTTTAAGGCAGTTATCTTTTAAGAAACAGAAGACAGGAAAAACCTTTGACCTTCCCCATGAAGAAAAGATACTATCAGAGATAACTACAGTTTAATAAGAAGCAGACGGCACAGACAGGAAGGAGCCCAGCAAGGCCCATTGGAGCAAAGTCCTCCCCGTGCCCATTGTTTCAAGACGGCCCAACAAACACGTGTTCGCTAAACATTAACTCTTTGCATTTCCTTACTGCCCTCTGAAGTGCTAGGCCCCTAACTCCCCCTGCTTCCTTAGTCCTCCTCTACACATATGCCGCATTTTGTCATATTGTCTATAAAAGTTTATGTTGATGTAAGTTCCCCTATTACATGTAATTAAAACCTGATTTCCTCCTGTTAATCTGCCTGTGCCATTTTGATTACTAGTCCAGCCAGAACTGTCTAAGGGCGTGAAGCAACTGCTGATGGAGCAACCTCAGTATATGTTTCAGGCAGAACTGTGTAAAGCATGAGGGATGCACTCCATCAACTGATACCGTTTCATTCTCTTCTTCTCCTTTTATTTGCTGAATTGGGACCAGCAAGTGACCTCCCTGGTTCTTCCAAACCAGTCCGTACCTCTCAGGGCATCCTTACATGACTGTCCTATCCCAATTCCAGAAAAGAAAACACAGTAGGAATTGACAAACTATAGCCTGTGGGCCCTACCCAGCTGGCCAGCTACTGGAATATGGCCTAAAATAAGAATGATTTTGTATTGTTGTTATTTAGTTAGTTAGTTAGTTAGTTTTGGTTAATCCTCACCTGAGAATATTTTTCCCATTGATTTTTAGAGGGAGGGAAGGAAGCAGAGAGGGAGTAATGGGGAGAAGGGGGGCGGGGCGGGGGGGAGACATCAATGTGAGAAACACATATCAACTGCCTCCCACATGGGCACTGACGGGGACAGGGATCAAATCTGCAAACCAGGTAACGTGCCCTGGACCAGGAATCAAGCCTGAGACCCTCTGGTGCACAGGCTGATGCTCAAACCACTGAACATACCTGCCAGGAGTGGTTTCTATCTTTTTAAATGGTTGAGGGGGGAAAAAAATTAATAAGAAGTATCCTGGGCGAATGAGTAGGAGCTGGGAAGAGGAGGGGAAAGGGAGGGGAAATGGGACATACCTGTAATACTATCAACAACAGAAAATATATTTAAAAAGAAAAAGAAGTATAATATTTCCTGACACATGAAAATTCAATAGAATTAAAATTTTAGCGCTCATAAATACAATTTTATGGGAACACAGCCAGTTTGTCCATATTACCTGCGGGTGCTTTTGCACTAAAATGGCAGAGCTGAGTGGTTGCAATAAACACCACACGCCCGGCAAAGGCTAAGATATTCACTATCTGCATCTTTCCAGAAAAGCATGAAACCCCTGAAGTTGAACTATTAGACTTCCCGTCCGTAGAAGACGTTCCCAATCCAGACAAGGCATTCCAGAAATACAAAATTAAGGCACATTAAGTCCACCAGATATCTACAATGACACCATCCGAGAGATCACACACTATGTCCACTCCTAACTACGCAATGAGAAGAGTGTAAGCCTTGCGTTCCTTCACTCCATTTTCAACTGGAGATGCAGATGGGATGTAACTTCCAACTCTAGACTAGCACCATTAGTATCCTAGATTGATGAACTGTAAATAGCAGGCCACTTTTTGCTGCTTCTTAACTGAACTGCAGCCACAGAGTACAAAAAGATAAATTTTCTTTGGGTTTCTTGGCAAGGAGCTCTCTATATATGTAATTTTGGCTTTTGTCTCCCAATTTCCTTCATTTATCAAAAATGTTGACAAAAAGGCTCTAATTAGATCATTCTAATCACAAGAAACTGGGTGTGATGGAAGACTTCAGAATCACTATCTGCTCTTTGCAAAACAAAACAGATAGGCTATTCTCCCTGTAGGGGCAGGAGATTTATCAAGAGACAAAAGGATGCAAAAAGCCAATAGATAAGGTGTAATTAAAGATCAGGCCTATAAATTTTACACTGACATAGATTTAAGAGGATTTGCAGGTAGAAATTCAGGATTTAAAACCCAAGTATCATTATGAAAATAATACCGTTCAGTTCTGTATGCAACAACATTCTATAATATATAGGTTTATTATTAAGACTAATGCTCTGTGCCTTCCAGCCCTTTCATACAAAGAATTTAAATTATTCAGTGCCAAAGAAATTTCCAAAGTGGCCTATTTTCTTCAAGCATTCCTCCTTAATTAGCTACATGTTCCATGTATTGAGCATCTAAATCTGTTTTAGAAATAGCAATCACCTATCATATCTCTGTTAGTTGTTAGAGGCATTAATTTAGAAGGTCTGTGTATTCTTATAGGTTTTCATCCCCCACCCCTTTATAATGTAATAAAATTACTTCCAATAGGATATTCAACATGGTTATAATACACGGTGGGGCAAAAGTAGGTCTATAGTTGTTTGTATAGGACTTAATATAATCCTATAAAATAAAAGCCTAATATGCAAATCGACCAAATGGTGGAATGACCTGTTGGCAGGGTCGGGGCTGGCAAGTGGGCTGCGCCAGGCCCGCCAAGGCGGGTACCAGCAGGCAGAGGGAGGAGACGGCAATCAGAGAGGTGGCGGTAGCAACCAGCCGCAGCGGAGGGCCAATTGTGGGGTGGGACCAGCCATTCACTGGCCGGTGCCATCCCCCGATTCAGCCACCAGAAGCTTTCCACAGAGGGAGGCCAGACTGACGGCTTAGGCCCGCTCCCTGTGCCTAAGGGGAGCAGGAGAGGGACCCAGGCCAGACTGAGGGACCCCCACCCCACTCCCGAGTGCATGAATTTCCATGCACGGGGCCTCTAGTAATTAATAAAGAATAAACTGTGTTTGTGTGTTCACAACTGTAAACCTACCTTTGCCTGTGTTGTAGTGCTCTCACTTCACTGGCTCAAAGGCCAAAAGTAAAAAGAAAAAGAAAAAGAACTTCAGAATACTATATAGTAGAGAGGGCTGAAGTATATTCGACTAAGACCCAACTTGAAACTAAAGTTACATCTCTTAGATTAAAGCATAAATGATCATTTTAATATGTGATGCTCTATAATATTCAGCAGGTATTTAGCAGCTCAAGACTAGCCTCTGAAATCCCAGCCACTGGAAAGACAGAAAAGGAAAGGCTGCGTCTTTTGGAAAATGACAAGTTTGGCACAATAACTCATTAACAAGTAAAGTTCAGAAATAAATTTAGGGGAAAAACAGATTGAGAAAACAGGTGGGAGGGATAATTTAAGGTACTGTAATAACCTCGAGGCAAACCAGGCTTGAATATTTCAACTTTTAGGGAATCACAAAAGGTATCAACAGACAGAAGTCTGGCTTGAAGGTGATTCAAAGTGAACCTTCCGGAGAGTTTAATGAGAGGCTACTGATCAGTGAGATCCCACTCAGAGCAGTCACTTACCGGAGTAGGCCCAGTACGGGTCCCCAGAGGCCTTGCGCCTGCGGATCTGTGAGGAGCTGCTGTGTCTGCTGTCCTGAAGGGACCCGACGTAGCCTTCGGTCAATGCTGGAAGGAAGACAGGAGAGCCACAGTGAGACAACGGCAGCACCACTGAGCCCAGGAAGGTGTCAGATGCACACCAGTAAGAGACTTCTGGGAAGCACAGGCCTTGGAATAATGAATAGAACCTATTGGTTTTACAGAAAAACAGCTACAGGAGACTCTGGAGATATTACCGTGGTCACCATTAATATTAATCACAGCTGACAACAAGCCAAAAAGCTCAATGCACTACGCACTGTATATACATTACTAGAGGCCCGATGCTCGAAATTCATGCAAGGGGCTCAGCCCCCGCAACCTCGGCCGGCCCTCGCAGCCCTTCGCAGCCCAGAAGGCCATTCGGTTGTTCGGTCTAATTAGCATATTAGCTCTTTGTTATATAGGATCTTAGTCTGCAAGGCAGTCAACCTGGACCTTAGATAAGTTCTTTAACGTGCTCAAGGTCATACAACTAGGAGACCTGGAGCCTGCATCCAGCCTATGTGGTGGGTGCAAAGGGCCTCCAGCCTCATTTGATCTTCAGAGAGCAAGGGTCACGCCATCTCTTTTACAGATGGAGGGAGTGAGGCTCAGAGCCCAGGTCACTGAGGTAAGTGTGCAGCAGGTCACGGACCCGAACTTAAGTACCTACATCCAAGCCAGGGCTGCTGCCACCCACATGCAGCGCAGCCTGAGCCTAGGAGCCTCCCAAGGTTGAGTGGCAGACTTCCACATCCTTTGGACCCCGAAGACTCAGTCACCTATTGTACGTGAGGATATGAAATTTAAACCCTCCAAGGGCAACAGAAAAGAAACACTGCCCTGGCCAGGTGGCTCTGTTGGTTGGGGCATCGTCCTGTCCACCAAAAGGTTGCAGGTTTGAATCCCTGTCAGGGCACATACTTAGGTTGTGGGTTCAGGCCCTGGTCAGGGTGTGTATGAGAAGCAACCAATCAATGTTTCTCTCACATCGATGTTTTTCTCTCCTTCTCTCTCTAAAAAATCAATAAACATATCCTCAGGTGAGGACTTAAAAAAAAAAAAAGAAACACTGCTTAATGATGTATTTTTTGAAAACTCAAACTGAATCTGATCTTTGACCCCATGGTGGAGGCTTCCATCTGCCAGCTCTTGTGTTCAAAGCCCGCCCCTCCCATCCCATCATGGATGCAAATCTCTTTTGTTGTGAGCCCACACCTGAGTGCACTGATGTGTAAAAAGACAAATATCACAGGTGCCCAGAATCCAAAAATGGAATTACGCTTCAAACAATACATCCCAGCTGTCTATGTTAACATTTAAATGCATCCAAACAAAATCAAATGTGCTTTTAAAAAGCAAAGAAAGCAGTTAGGAGAACTGTACAGTCAATTAAAAATTAGGATGGCACCAGGAAAACATAATACATTTTCTATTCCAAATTAGTCAGAGTAATAATAATAATAATCTCACCATGATGATATTAGCAATGTAGACACTGAGACAGTCGTGAAGTAAATGAGGAAACATATAAAATACTTTATGCTTACATGTCAATTGCAAAGACATGTTTAATGCTTAAACAAAGAACAAAGATATTCCAGCAAGATGAACCCTTCAGAGGGAAAGAAGAATCTTTTAAAATCCGGAAACACATCGAAAAAGCAAAATTGATGTCATTTATGCCTAGTCATTGGTCCTGAATGGCACAGTAGAAATCTAAGTCACTTTTCATTTTTAAAGCATGTTGAAGTTTTAGGTGCCTATCATCCACCCAGTCCTAGTTTTTGCAGATGAGCCATACAAAGCCCCAGGAAGTTGACCATTCTAAGCTTCTAGGGATCAAAATTAAATCTCTCATCTTCTCATCTACTTTTTGTCCATAGACTAAAGCACACGAAATGAATAACTATTAACTGTTCACGTATATAGGAAGCTTTTTAAATGTATCTGTTTGCTGTGTATCTTATAGCTAGTTCACTCAAATTATTCCCAAATAATACTTCCTCTTAGTATCAGGACAATGAGTAAGAGTGTCTTGGCCTTAGGAATAACCCATGTGGCTTCCATTAGGGCATGTGATTGAGCCTCAGTTTCCTTATCTGTAAAATAGAGCTAAAAATCCAACCCCATAGGATAGTTATTTAGAAATACAAGTTATTGTGAGCAGAGCACCTAACTGAGTATGGGGCATATGGTGCTTTTAAATGCCTGGTAACACAGTGGCCATTTGTTGCTGTCACTGTTTTTGAAACCACCATAGCCCCCACTTCCTTAGTCAGAGTCATACATTGAAGAGCCTTGCCCCTTATCTCTCTTGTCTCCCTGCCAGCTATGTGTGTGTGTGCGCATGTGCATGTGTGTGTGTGTGATGGGGGAGTGAGGGGGGCAACAGAATGACACTAGTTTGGCTTAAGCCAGTAAGACCATGTCCCTGGCCCCCAACAAGGTGTTTAAAAATGGGGACATCCACCAATCAGAAAGATTCTCCTCTCTTCCTGAGGTCTTAGGGCATGAGCTGGAAGCCTCAGGGGGTGACTGAGGATCCAACAAGGGGTCAGCAGAGGAGCTCAAGAATGGAACCATCCAACAGCAGACTAGAGGATCGCAAGAATCATGTCAAAGATTCCAAATACAAAGAAGCAAAAAATAGCCAACCGGAAAGGCAAAAAGCAAAAAGAATCCAAAAATATGAAGATAGTGTAAGGAGCCTCTGGGACAGCTTCAAGCGTACCAACATCTGAATTATGGGGGTGCCAGAAGAAGAGAGAGAGCAAGATATTGAAAACTTATTTGAAGAAATAATGATGGAAAACTTCCCCTACCTGGTGAAAGAAATAGACTTACAAGTCCAGGAAG